CCACTCACTAAATACCACTCACTAAATACCACTCACTAAATACCACTCACTAAACATCTCTCACTAAACATCTCTCACTAAACATCTCTCACTAAACATCACTCACTAAATACCACTCATTAAATATGTCTCACTAAACATCTCTCGCTAGATAAGCTCGCTACGCAACCCTCGTGATTCCTGAAAACAACTCTCACCACCAAATGCCCCCCCCCTCCCCCCCACCCGTTCTGCCTTTTCCAATATTTGCAACCTAGCGCAGCCGCGCCCAAAACACGCCGCGGCACGCTCCCACCGCCCCAATATAAAACCACAAATACCACGCCAAAAATCACACAATGCCGGAAAAACAAAACAGAAAACACCAGTCCCCATTCTGCCACTACACACACCCACCCATCACCGCCAGCATTGCCACATCCAACACGGCCCGAGAAAACGCTCCCCTCCCATTTCCCTCTAGCCCCAGTCGGCCCAGCCTGCCCAGCGAGGCCGCGCGGCCGCCCATGCAGGATCACCGGCGAACCTATACAAACGGAGCGGAAACCACCCATTTCTTTACCCCACGGCCCGCCTCTTCTTTCGGCCCCCGGCTCCCTTGTCTCGTTCTGCAAACACAGACGCCGCCGACCCGCGCACGTGACCACGCGCCAGACCCCAGCCGCCGCCTTTTCCTGTGCCGCCGCCCGCGTCTTTCCGAGCCTCTGCCCACCACCATACTACCGCCAGCCCGCGGCTGGGAGCCCCCTGGAAACACGCCGCCAAGCCGCCCGCCGGCACCCAAACGCAGCCCCGGCCCCGCGTGCCACAAAACCACCCCCCTGTCTTTTTTCCCGGGGCCCGCCGCGCCAGAACCGCGCCGCACCGCGCCCCCTAGCGCGCTCCAGCAAACAGCCGCCGGCAGCCCGCCAAACAGCCCGCCGGCAGCCCGCTTGCCATGTCGCAGACCGCCCCCGTAGCCTGTGCGGAGAGCAGCGGCACGCCCGCGGCCACTGACGCGCTCCGGAGCGAGAAACCACGGCGCGTGAAGGTGTACTTGCTCCAGGGCGACGACTGGCTCGACAACGGCACCGGCTACTGCACCGGCGAGGTGGACGGCGCCAGCAGCAAGCCGTGCTTCGTCGTGCGCAGCGAGCTCGACTCGCAGCACGTGCTCATGCAGTCGTTCTTGGAGGGCAGCATCCAGTACCAGCGCCAGCAGGAGACGCTCATAGTGTGGACGGACCTCCGCGGCAAGGACCTCGCGCTCTCGTTCCAGGAGAACGACGGCTGCAGGGACCTCTGCGACTTCATTGTGCGCGCGCAGCAGGGCCGCTGGGCACCGCAGGTGTCGCTCTACTACGTGCTCCTGGCGCCCGCAGGCTCCCCCGACGAGGGCCCCCGCGAGATCACGGAGCTCATCACCGGCCCGGTGGCGTACCCGCCGCGCGAGCCCGACCGCGCGGCGCTCGCCGCGGTCTTGGACCTGCTCACGCAGGCCGCCGGCGCGTTGTTCTCGCGCCTCCAGATGCTGGCCTTCCTCGCAGACTCCCACTACTTCGACGCGCTCTTCCGCCTCTTCCGCCAGCGGGAGGCCGCGCGCGACCTCGACGCCGTGCTCTGCCTCAACGACATCGTCAAGGCGGCGCTCCACTACAACGAGCCGCGCGTGGTGGCCGAGCTCGTGTCCTCCGAGACCCGCGCCATGGACTTCGCCGGCGTGCTCGAGTACGACCGCACCGTGCCCGGCCTCCGCGCGTGCCACCGCCAGCACTTGCAGGACCGCTCCCGCCTCAAGACCGTGGTGCACGTGCCGCTCCCGCCGCACGGGCCGGACGACCCCATGGACCCGTTCCGCCGCGACTTCGTGCTCCAGTACTTGCGCGGCGTGGCGCTCGCGCACGTGTTGGACGAGCCGGCGCTCGCCGTGCTCGAGGACTTGATTCTGAGCAACCACTTGGACATCCTCGCCTTCCTCCAGGACGCGCCCGCCAACGGCAACTTCCTCGCGCGGCTCTTTGCGCTCTACGACGCGCCGGGCCGCCCGCAGCAGCAGGCCCGTGACGGCGTGCGCCTCGTCCACCAGTACGTGCTCGTGGCCAAGGCGTTCCCGGCGTGCCAGCTGGCCGGCTTCTTCGCCGAGCTCGTGCGCCGCGGCGTCTTGAAGATGGTCAAGCACGCGTTGTGCGACCCGGCCCGCGCGCTGCGCGCCATGGGCATCGAGATCTTGACCGCCGTCATCGACCAGGACGTGGCCTTGGTCGGCGTGCCGCTGGCGCCCGACGACGCGGACGACTCCGCGGACGACGCGTGCCCCGGGCCGGCCCGCCCCGGACACACGCCCGAGTCATCCGACTCCATCCGCTGCAACTTGATGACCGACATGTCCTTGACCTTGGCCTTGGGCTCCTTGCTCCTAAACGACCCCGACCCGGCGTTGAAGACCCAGACCTACGAGGCCATCAAGAGCCTCCTATGCTCCACGGTGTTCGACGTGGACTTCCCCGCAAAGACCGACGGCGACGCCCACGTCAAGTCCTACTTCGAGGCCTTCTACGAGCAGGTGGCGCCCACGCTCTTCGCGGCGTTCATCGACCTCGCAGGCCCCAGCGAGAGCGCCCGCCAGGACGCGGAACGCCGCGTGCGCGCAGACCCGGCCCTTTTCCAGCGCCTCTGCGACCTCATCTCCTTCTGCTGCCATGAGCACGAGTCCGCCATCTGCCGCCCGTTCTTCACGCGCAGCGGCGCGCTCGACGGCATTGTCAGGACTCTCGCCTTGGACGTCCACGTGACGATGAAGCTCGCGGTCTTGCGGTGCTTCAAAAGCTTGATCCTGCTCAACGACCACGCGTTCTGCTGCTACATGATCCACAACGACCTCTTCGCGCCGTTCTTCGCGTTCTTCGACACCGTCGTGGACCAAGACTCCTTGGTCAACTCGCTGTGCTTGGACTTGCTCGGCATCATCATCAAGCGCAGCTCCCACGACTCTTTCGGCTGCTTGGCCGTGCACATGAGTCTGCGCTACAGACTGTTCTTGGAGTCCAGGATCAGCTACGTGTCCACCGGGCGCGACTTGTTGGCCTCTGCACGGAGGTTCAAGGACAGAGCAAAAGACAGCACCGTCACCAGTGTGGATTTGGACCAGGGCCATTGTCACAGCATCCACCCATCCTCGCCCATTGCGCGAGAAGTGAATGGGTGCAACACAACTACAGAGGGCAGACAGGCCAATTGCAGTTTGCTAGATGCACACGAAGGCTGAGACTACGCTTTCTGAGACAATTGCTCACTGCACTGAGCTAGCACCGCGATGCCGGCCCAGCTCCGCGACTGGCCATGCATTTGGGGCTCTCGTCCCCACAAGCTTGCGAGGGTTTATACTATTCACGCTCAATGCGCACACCCTGCCTGGAGTGCCGAGTGGAGATCACTGGGATGCCTGTGAACCATGCTGGCAAGAAAAAAACAGGAGCTTCAAGGCTTGATATTCTCCAATAAGCACATTCCAGCTGAGCAAATAGCTCCGGCATTTTTCGCCAGCTGGCTCCGCTTCAAAACTACTTCGGCAACTCTGCTCATGCGGCCGAATTGCTCCTCGGCCCAACCCCGCATAAACCCGACGCTGTATGCAGACCACGCCATACATAAAGCAGTGGAACTGCCTGTGCGCTGAGGGCAGACGATATTCTGACACTTCACAGAAGCATCAACACGCAGCAAACAACAAAAGAGGCCATGGTATTAACTCAAGAATTCGTCAAAGACTCGGTCTGGAAGGCCGATATCTTCAAAGGCAAAGTCGTATTTGTCACAGGTGGCGCCGGCACGATTTGCCGTGTGCAGACAGAAGCAATGGTCTTGCTTGGAGCTAACGCGGCTATTGTCGGCAGAAACAAAGAGAAAACAGACCGCGTGGCCGAGGAGATTCGCCAATTGCGCCCGGGCGCCAAGGTCGTCAGCTGTCCCAACACCGACGTCAGAAACGTGCAGTCGATTGCAAAGGCCGTGGAGCAGACAGTGCAGGAGCTTGGCCGGATCGACTTCCTCATTGCAGGTGCCGCTGGCAACTTTTTGGCAGACTTTAACCATTTGTCGTCGAACGCGTTTGCCTCGGTGGTCAACATCGACTTGCTTGGGCTGTTCAATGCAGTGAAGGCAACGTTCAACGAGCTCAGAAAGAACAAGGGTGCCATTCTATTCGTCTCGGCCACGTTGCACTACTACGGCGTGCCATTCCAGACGCACGTGGGCGCGGCGAAGGCCGGCGTCGATGCGTTGCTGAATGCGTTGGCCGTGGAGTTGGGGCCCTTGGGGATTCGGACCAACTGCATTGCGCCCGGCCCGATTGCGGGCACGGAGGGCATGGACAGGCTCGTCAAGAACCAGGACGAGTATGTTAGCAAGATCCCGCTCCAGCGGTTGGGCACGACCCGCGACATTGCGGAGGCCACGGTGTACTTGTTCTCACCGGCTGCCAGCTACGTGACGGGCACGGTGCATGTGGTGGATGGAGCTGCGTGGCAAAACGGGCAGCTGTCGATGCAAAACTTGTACCCAGTGGAGCTCATCAAGAGAAACAGCGAGGTGTTGGCCAAGCTTTGATTCCGGCAGCTGAGGCCGGCCAAGAGGGCGAAGATCCCAGAGCGACGCGGCGATTGAAGCTTGGAAGAACAGATGAGACGAGAGTGGCTAAGGTGAACTACTGCGAAAGAGAAATGAGGTGGTACGAGCTTATACGATGGCACCGGGTGGAGACAGCGGAGAATCTGGTTATTCGAGGCTGAGAAGAACATGCCCAAGTGGAACAGATTAAGGAAAGAAAAACGAGGGGAGGCAACGGACGGGTTCGTGCGAGGCTCAACTGTCCTTGGGCTTCCCGCTCTTACCAGCTGAACGACTAGTGCTAGGCATTCATTACGTTCACACAATCAACAGTATCTTCACGCAGTATTCGCCACACGCTAATCCCGCTCCCAAAATTCTGATGTACCTTCCACCTCCGTACCCCGACATCCTTCCAGGTCCAGCCCCACTGGCGCGCCCGCCCTAGACGTGATTGCCGCGCTCCACTGATTGGCACGGCGCACGACCGGCTGTATACACTAACCAGTCGTTGATAGCACGCACCCAATCACCTGGTCTTCGTTGCACCGCCCCAATACCCCTCCACAAACATGTCCATCGATCCGGAGAATCGGCGCAAACTCCTACTCTTGCAGAAGGCCGACGACAACAAGCGCTGCGCCGACTGTGACGCGTTCAACCCGCAGTGGGCGCTGCCCAAATTCGGCATCTTCATCTGCCTCGAATGCGCTGGCATTCACCGTGGTTTGGGCGTCCACATCTCGTTCGTCCGCTCCATCACCATGGACCAGTTCAAGCCCGAAGAGGTGCTTCGCATGGAGAAGGGCGGCAACCTAAACTGCCGCAAATATTTCGAGGAGCATGGGCTCGACGCCGCGTTGCCGCATCGCGCCAAATACGACAACCCTGTCGCCGAAGACTACAAGGAGTACTTGTCGTGTCTCATCGAGGGCAGGCAGTTTGTGCCGCCTGACCGCTCGCAGCAAGCTGCGCCGCCGGCGCAGCCGAATCCTGGCCAAAACACGCTTTCACAGGCGCCTGTAGTAGACAAGGCGCGCACCGAGGCCTATTTTGACCGTATCCGCTCGCAGAACGAGACGCGCCCGGAAAACGTGCCCCCTTCGCAAGGAGGCAAGTACGCCGGGTTCGGCAACACGCCGGCGGGGCAGAGCCGCCAGGGCGGCGCCAGTGGGGCGTCGCCTGGTGAGCTCTCCGTGAACTCGTTGCAACAAGACCCTTTGGGCGCGTTGACAAAAGGATGGAGTCTCTTCTCCTCGACAGTGGCGAAGTCCGTCAACGAAGTGCATGAATCCGTGATCAAGCCGGGGTTCACGCAGTTGCAGGGCAGCGAGCTCGGCAGCGAAACCAAGCGGGCCATGGCGCAGTTTGGCCAGAAAATGCAGCAGACTGGCAAGTACGGGCAAGAGACGTTCAGCACGTTCACGCGAGACGTGCAAGACAAGGGCTTCAATGAGTCGGTGGGCAGCTTCTTCGGGAATATCGGTGGCCGCACGCAGGCAGGCTCCAACGTCGACAGGGCGTTCGGTTTCAAGAAACCCGACAACGAAGCTAAGATGCCTGCGTTGGGCAGCGACAGTCTTGGTGGCCACAAGGACGAGGACGAGTGGGATGCCTTCTGAGCCGCCCGGACCGTCTGCATACATCTCCAGCATATACTCTCGGGTCTTCATAATAATACACCTTCTACACGGGCCTGATTCTATAACTCTCGCCATCGCTTGCTTCAGCATCTGCAATAACACCCATTTGCGAAAACACCCATCTGCCCCACCCATCTGCCTCACTCCGCACACCACAACGGTTTTAACTCTCCACCCCATTCCTCTCTTGTCTCATTTTCCAACCCTCCCTACTCCTGATGGGGTTTGCAAACCAGACCTCGCTTTTTGGCGACTCTGCACTCGTCCACCTGCCGTGCCTCTTCTTCAAACAGCCGGTAACAATGGTAGTACGAGTCCTTGACACTGAAAAACGCCACCACCCGCCACAGAAGCACCCAGTCCACAAGGCCCACGTCACGTGCCAGCAGCAGGACCACGAAGTAAAATAGGCCCCACACCACGCCCACTGCCAACCCCACCACCACTTGTGGCGTTGTATGATACTGTAGGTACACACGAGAGAATGCCACGCAAACGCCCGAGACTACCAAAAACATTCCGGTCCCGGCCTTGTGCACCTTTGTTACTGGAATCTGCAATATCACCACGCACATGTAGTATGCGGCGAAGAAACCCATGAACTGAGAATGTGCCGAGGGCATGCCATGGCCCAACACCAGGGAGCCTTCGCCAAAATGGCGGTGAAAATCGGGCCGCGGCTGTTGCACGGCACGCTTGATGATGACATTCAAAACCTCGCCCACGAGATGGCCTCCTACGGTGATTACAGGCTGGATTTCCCGGGTGACCAAAAACCACGACGTGTAGAACACCATCACGTAGATGGGGAAAAGAGAGAACTGCACACACGCAGTCGACACGAGGTCATTGGGGTCGTACAAAATATACGTGTGGTAGAAAGGCACCGGGTTGTATTCCATTCTCAGTATGGGGCCGGGAGCCGTTTTTCGTGGGATCTGAATAGATGGAGGAGCGCGACTCGAGGCACAAAAATTAGCAGCGAAGAAAATAGGCAGAAAATAGACAGAAAATGTGCAGAAAATAGACAGATAATAGGCAGAAAATAGGCAGAAGAGGAAAATAGACAATAGTCAGGGAAAATTAGACAGGGGGGAAATAGACGGAGGAGGAAAATAGACAGGGAAAATAGACAGAGGGGGAGAATAAACAATAGACAGAGGAGAAAAACAGACAGGGGAAAAATAGACAGAAGAGTAAGAGGAGTAACATAGAAAATAGACAGGGCAAAAAATAGACTGAGGAGATAAATGGACAGAGGAAAAACAAGATTTTGTGCCGCTTTTGCGGCGGCACAAAATCTTGTGCGGGCGAGAACTGTTTACTCGTGGGTCAGAGATATGCGTGTATTGGTCATACTATTACTTAGTCTGATGAGGAATCACTTAGAGAAGAACCTGCGGAGATCGTCCGGGTTTGAGATGCAAGAGATGAGAGAAATGAGATGAGAGAAAAGAGATGAGAGAAAAGAGGCAAGAGGAATGAGAGATGGAGAGTAATATATGTAGAGGTGAGGAGTACCGTGGGGGCCCACGGATTTAAATAAGTCGAATGTGAAGCGTCAACACCACCAACAGGGGCGGCGCGCATGCTTGCGTGATCGTCATTGGGTCGGGCAATGGCATAACTGGTGCCGCCCGAAGGTTGTTCCAGTGTCAAGAGCACCTTGGTAGCTGCAGCCGCCTGCACGCACACTAGCCGATATGGCGCTTCTGGCGGTCTCTCGCCCATCTGGCTGCGTCCTTGGTCTGTTGCGTGAAAGAGATGTTGGCCCTGGTCTTCTTGATGAACGGTGTCACCCATGGTTGGTCGTAATAGTTTTTCAACTGGCCGTCCTGGTACATGGCCGCGATGTCACCCAACAAGCCCACAGCAGATCTGGCCGTCGATTCGTTGGAAGACATCTCTACGTCTCCCGAGATTTGCTCGATCAACTGGAAGATAGGTCCAAGGTACATGAACAACTGCTGTTGGTTGGAGCTTAGACTGCTCACAATACCCACGTAGCAGTCCAAGACCGCCTCTTTGACAGATATGACGTACTCAAGCGAATCATAGGAACTGTCCTCGGGCACAATTGTAGAGAGTTGCGAGCAGATTTGCATGACAACTTCCATGTAGGGCATGAAACCTTCGCCAATCACACCAGCAATATCGCCGAAGCAAGACAAAATGGCCGGCTTCAATTCGCGCTTGCCGTCCTTATCGTTGAGGTCCTCACCCAAGATGGACATCAAGCCCTCCAAGAAGGGGGCGATAGCGTGTCCAAGGGACTGCGCCAAGTCAGCAATGAAACCGACCGCCGTAACACAAGTGGGCGACAGGACGTTTCTTAATGCCTTGGTCAAGTAGGGAACGAACGAGTCCATGTACTTCAAGAAGTCAGGCCCGACGGCACCAGACACTGCAGAAATAGCAATGAAAATGTCCTCCTCGATCAAAGCATTGGGTTCCTGAGAGTCCAAGAGCTTGATGAACATGGTCATCAAGCTGTCGGAGGCTCCCTGGACCTCGCTGCTGAGTCTTCTGATGGTCGTGGTCAACAAGGACAAAAGATTGATCTGCAACTCTTCCAAAGACGCTCTGCCCTCGGAACCGAAGGACTGCAGCTGCATAGCAATTGTGGCCTCTAACCTGCTGAGGACCTCGGTGGCGATTTGCTGGATGATGGGCATGGAGTCATTGGCACTGTATGTGACAAAGGCCGATAAGGCTTCGTAGGCGGACGCGCGGGAGTTGAACTCGTTGTCCTCCTTGCCCGAGAGCTGCACGAGCGCCGGGACAAAAGTATGGTAGTACTTGGACATCACGGAGGATTCCTGCAGCTGCGCATCCATACAGAGCTGCTCGAGGAGGTTCATCAAGGTCCAGCAGCAGTTGACCGAGACCTTCGGGTGGTCGCTCAAGCCGAGCAACAAGGCCTGCAACAAGGGCTCCAAGTCGGAGTCGAGGTCCAAAGCGGAGAGCGCGACCTCGGCGATCTTACCCAAGCACCAGGTGACGGTCTCCTTGACCTGCACGGTGGGGTCGGAGATCAAGCCCATGATGGGCTTGATGGCCTCCTGGATGGCGGGCTTCAAGTTGTCGACGTCGGGGCCCTCCAAGATGGAGCCGAAGGCCATGACCGCGGCCTCGCGGTTGCGCCATTCGGGCAGGGCGATGTTGGCGGCGAAGAAGCTCAAGGTGGGCTCGACGACGTACATGCCGGTGGTGGTGGCGAAGAGCTGCAAGCAGGAGCCCGCGGCCATGGCCACGGACCAGTCGTCGTCGTCCGGGTCGTCGTTCTGCTTGGTCAACAAGGTCAACAAGACGGGCAAGACGTCCCTGCACGCTAGGAGGGTGAAGTTGTAGGAGACGACGTCGGGCGGCGGCTGCTCGCCGCGCTCGCTCAACTCGTGGAGCTGGAAGGCGATCTCAAACTCCTCCTCGCAGATGGTGGACCAGAACTCGATGGCCATGCACGCCACGCTGTCGCTGGTGCTCTGCATGCCGGCGATGGACAACGCGTACAAGGCCTTCTCCATGTACACGGACATGTGTTGGTAGTACAACTGCACGATGCGGGCAAGGCAGGCGAACGCGGCGGCCTGGAGCTCCGGGTCCGCGGCCTGCGTGGCCTCGCACACCACTTGCATGATGAAGTTGCGCTCGCCCTCGCGCTGGAAGTTGAGCTTGATGAACAGCAACGAGTAGATCAACGCGTTGAGCGCCGTGAGCCGCACCGCCACCGACGGCTCGGTGGCCTGCACGCCTTGCACGATGGCAATCAAGATGCCGTTCAGCTGCGCGAGGAGCTGCGGGTCGCTGGCGTCCGCGCTCTCACAGATGTAGCCGATGGCCAAGAGGCACGCGCGCTTGACGCTGACCGGCTGCTCGGTCTTGGTGTGCTCCGTGATGACCGGGAGCAACTCGGGCCACTCGTTGCGCGGCAACTCCACGAGCGCGATGGCCGACACCACCTGCGAGATGGACGTGGTCATTTCCTGGTCGTCGCTCAACAACACGCGCACGGCCTGCGCCTTGATGGCGGCCTTCAGCTCGCCGTCCAACTGCACCCAGCGCGCCTGCTGGGCGTGGCGCTTGCGCAGGTCCTTCAGCGTGAGCTGGTTCTTGATGCCCAAGGCGGCCAACATGCGCACCTGCGGCTTGGCGCCGCTGCCCAAGATCTCGGCCAAGTAGCGCATGTACTGGGCAAACGAGTGCTCGGCAAGGTCCGCCAACTGCCGCTCGGCGGCGTTTCGCGAGCCCGCGTCGGGCGACATCAACGCGGTCTCCAAGAGATTGGCGATGTCCATGGCGCGGGGGGATGTGGCTGCAAAAAAAGCGGACTTGTGGGGCTGGTAGGGGCCGGGCTGGTGGGTAAGGGGTGGGCGGCAGAGGGGGCGATTGGGGTCGTCTGCGGGGGCGCCGGGGGCGGGGGAAATGCCGGTTTTTTTGGGTGCGGGTTCAACAGGCGTGCCGAGGTAGAGGGCAGGCCGGATTTGGGGCACGTAGTGGGGCGGGGGGTTGAAGAGTGTTGCTGCCTAAACCGGTGGTTGTTCGGTTTGGGAGTAGCTGTTTGCTGTTGGCGGTGCGACATGAGGGCGCGCCGAGAGAAAATCTTTTGGTGGTCGTGCGCGGGCCAACAGTGGGGGCAGGCGCCGGGGCTGTTTCTGGTGTCGCTTGTGGTGTCGGGCGAGCGAGCCTCCACCATAACTCTGCGCTTGCTTTGGGTTCTCTTATGTTTTTTATTTTTTGATTTGGTTTGATTTGATTTGATTTGATTTGATTTGTTTGATTTGATTTGATTTGGT